TGTTTCTCCTCCCTGCGCTCCTCCCTCCGTTGTTCCCTCTCCTTCCCCTATATCGATGAATATCGAGCTGTTAGAGTAGATCCAGTTTAGGGTTCGTTGTATATTTATTGTGGAAATGTAGATCCATTTTTTCCGGTAAATATGGAGTTGATTTCACTGTTTTGAAGTTTTCTTTCTCTCTTCCTCCTTTGCTATGTCATGTGTTTTGAATTTGTGATGCCCTAGTTCCTCTCCGTCCTCAGACGCACCCTCCAATCTTCTCCGATGCAAGCAGATCACCATGGGGTTGGCTTGTGGCGCTGCTCTCGATCTCCTCCTCCATCTAAAATTCGCAGCTGCACCCTCTAATCTGCTCCAGCGCAAGAAGTTCACCGTCTTCCTATTCATATGAACCTTATTAAATGATTTCGTTGAGATTTTCTACAGAGAAAGTCAAACTATAATCTAATTAGCTATATATAAAGGTATGCATAGTTATCAATTGTTATATATTTATACAAACGAGCATGAGGTGTTTGATGGTTTGCTCTATTTAGGCACAGATGACTTGAAACTAATTTTTGACATAGTATTTGCTTTTTATTTGATCTTTAATTTTGTTGATAAAATAACTTATTCTGCTACACATATTATCAATTCAAAAAAAAAAAAACGAATAAGCTGTTTACCAAACGCACGAACCAAACAGTTCAACAACATATCCAAAATAGGGGCAGATTGGTCATTTCTTCAGAATCAGCTGTTCTTAAAACGCACTAACCAAACAACCAGCTAGATTATCTGGATCAGCTGCCCATCAGCAGATTATCAGGATAAGTTGCTTATCAGCAGAAGCTGGATAAACTGCAGCTGCCCCAAACAGACCCTTAATCTTCTTTAAGGATCAATTTTTGGCTTATAATTATCTTCCATTAAAATTTTGTGCATATAGATTGAATGACTGATTCCTTTAATATCAGCTAATGTCCATCTAAAGGCTTTCTTATGATTTTTTAACGCCTCCAATAATTTTTCTTCTTGTTTTGCAATAATGTCTAAGGATATAACAACCGATCATGTAGATGAATTTCCCAAAATTGCATATTTTAAATAATTAGGTAAAACCTCCTTCTCAAGTTCAGGAGGTTTTTTTAAAAGTTGTATCAAAGGTTTACTATTTTCAGTAAGATCTAAAATTTCAAATTCTTCCTAAACATAATTTAATTCCTTGATATCTTTCTCATTTGATTCATCTTAAGAACCTCTATCATTTTTTTATTCTTTTTTGTCCAAAGTTACTTCCTTTTTTGATCCGTTATGACTTCACATCTTTCTTGAAAACGATTTATAATCATATAATCAATTATATCTATTTTATAACATTTACTATCTTTTCCTATATCAGGATACTTCATTGATTTGAGTACATTAAATGTTACTTCTTGATCATTAACTCTCATGGTTAATTCTCATTTTTGCACATTTATCATTGCACGTGCAGTAGCTAGGAAAGGTCTCCCTAGAGTAATAAGAATTTCTTTATTTTCTTTCATATCCAACATAATGAAATCAATAGAGAAGATATATTTATCCACCTTTACTAGCACATCTTCTATAACCCCTTTAGGATATGTAATAGACCAATCAACTAACTGTAGGGCTACAATAATGGGAGAAATGTCTCCTAAACTTAATCTTCTTCATATAGATAATGACATAAAATTAATGCTCACTCCCAAATCATATAAAGCTTTTTCACAATATTTTTCTCCAATTGCATAAGGTATGGTAAAACTACTAGGATCTTTGAACTTTTGAGGAATGTTTTTTTGAATTATTGCACTGCACTCTTCATTAAATGCAGTAGTTTCATAATCTTCAAACTTTCTTTTTTTATTTAAAATTTCTTTCATAAATTTAGCATAACTTAGCATTTGTTACAAAGCTTCCACAAATTGAATATTAATTGTAAGCTTTTTAAATATCTCAAAAACTCTTGAAGTATGTTGATCAAGTTTTTGGTCTAAGTCTTTGAGGAAAAGGGATACTCAAGAATTCAAATGGAAGAAGATATACCTTATGAGCTAGAGGAAAGCAAACCTATATTTCAAGAGGCAGAAATGGAATGTGGTTGTGCTCAGCAAGTGCAGCTACTGTAGGGCCCAAAGAATATGCATGTCCAGCACCAAGAGAGTATTGTGGGAACAACAACTGCAACATTTGATGTTGGGGTTATGAAGCTTCGTTGGTGCAACTGATTGAGTTGTTGTTGCAACTGTGATTTGTTCAACAACTTTGGACATTGAGCTTTCCAAAGACCCTTTTGGTTACAAAAGCTACATTCATCAAAACCAACATTTCCATGATATTTGTTTTTTTTACGAGTAGCTGCAAAAATAGATGGATTAGGAGTGGGGAGGATCATTTTCTCTACATTCCTTTCTCAAATTGAGACTTGAGACGAATGTCTTCAGCAAATAACTCATTAACTTCTGAGTCGCTATTGCAAGAGGATTGCAAAGTAAAATTGTTCCACGAAGCCCTTCAAAATCATCTCGAAGAGCCATAAAAAACTGAACCAAATCACTATTCTTCTCTACGATCAGTGTATGGTCTAAAAGTTCTCAATTCTATAGATTCAGCAAGAGATAACTGATCCCGAAGACTATTCATGGCAGAATAAAATTCTTGGATGCTCATGTTGTTTTGTTGAAGAGCACAAATACATATCTCTAATTGATATTGTTTTGCAAAATTTAACCGCACATATAATCTTTTCAAATGATTTCAAACTTCCTAGGCAGTTTCATATTTTGCTAATTGAACACCGATTGATTATGAAACTGAGTTATTGATCCAAGTGATTATTTTGATTTGTTTGTTTCTCATACTTCTAACCTTTCTTCAAATTTTTTATCTTCTTCATCTATAGGCTTAACAGAGGTTCCATAAACATAACCCCGCATTCTTTTGTCTTTCAAAAAACTAATCAATACATAATTCCAATATGAGTAATTTTGTCAATTTGATTACACGCTAATTGAATTAAGAAAATCATCTTTTTCACCAGTCATTGCTACTTTAATCAATACAAAAAGAAAACAAAGAAAATGAAGATCAAATACCAATAACAATGATCACTCGAAGAACTGCAATTGGGTCTATCGTTGGAGACTGCAAATGACACTGAAAATTAGATAGTCTTCGTCTTCTCCTTGCCAAATCGCGAACACAATCGATAAAGAGGTCTACAAGGGCAATCGACTCTGAAGGGATGTGCATGACTGGCGGCTTCTTGCGAACGAGATTGGTGAAGGGAGGCTGCTTAACTCAATTCTTTCAGCAAATCCGAAAGCGGAGGGGCATGCTAACTGGAAAAAGGAGGGGAGGCTTCGATATGCCTTTTACGCAACTAATGTAGTGAGAACTGTGAACCAGAGAAAACGGAGAGTATCTATGGGAACTTAAGAGAGAAAAAAAGATTCGACAAGGTTTCGAGCGAACGGAGGGTTCTCAAATCGCAATCGCTCGAACGGGAAATAATTCTTGCTGGATCAGAACTTGCTCTGATATCATGTTAAGAATTGCAATTGAGATAAAATAGGAAAAGAGAAGATACAATAAAAAGTGACTAGGGTTTCAATTGTATCAAAATCACATTACATGTGTAAAAAATAAATATATATTTATAATAAGCAAGATGACTAAACTACCCTTAAATAGTGTAAAACAATAGAAGTCTATAATATCTAATAATGATATTAAAGACTCGAGTAATAGAAATGTAAAAATTAAGTTCGGGTATTAGATATGTAAATATATAAGAATTGTGTGGTATGTAGGTAAACGCCCCTTCATTTAAATACAACAATACATAAACTATCAAAATTATAATTAATGAAAACCAACGTAGCTCGTCATCCTAAAATAACAAAAATTACTGAAATAAAAACTTTGTTCACCAGATCAAAATTTAATTGCACAAAAGAATTTGATATAGAGATAAGATTCCCTACTTCATTCCACTGCTCTGTACATCAATTTATCTGTACAAAAATTAAGCCTCAATTCTATCTCAAAATTTCCAAGCTATAATATGAATTATACTTATAATTTGAGAGCAATGAACAGTAACCCATCGCCACTGGAAGCTGAAGAAATCGGAAGCAGGAGAAAACTGTCGAATTTGGTCATTCAACTTTTTGTAGGAGATTATTTTATTCTCAGAGTAGAAAAATATCATATTAGCCCCCACACTTTTAATTTTGTTGAATTAACCCTCATGGAGGAATATTTCAACCTCAATTTAAAAATTCTTAGAACTAATTTGACACCATGTAAATAATCAGGAGATTATTTTGGCATTTTATCCTTGGAAGCATCTAGAAGGTTCCCTAAACTTCTAGAAAACTATCTCCCACTTCATTGTGACCAAATTTCATGTGTGCCGAATCGATGTCCGATTGTTCTATAATGGAGAAAATCTCAAGTCTGAAAAGCAAAAATCCATATCGACGAGATGATTCCCAACTCCAACACAGGATCAGACTGGAAATCGACTTGCCAGATTTCCGGTAAGGTGGTTGAACTTCACCAGAATGGCAAGGGTATTCCATGGTTTGTGCCCGGAGGTCGGCAACTCCCCTTCTATTTAGTAGAGATTGGAATCCATTGATGACCAGAATTGTTTCTGCTGTTGCTATAGCCATTGTTTCCTATAAACCAAAGCTGCTTTGACTGACATTCGACGCGGTGAACTTCGTTTGATACAGCTTGGGCGAGAACGGAGCTTTGAATCCATTGGCTGGAGGTTGCAAATGCACGATCCGACGAAGCTGGAATGAATCTTTCGCCTCATTGGCATAGACAAATCGGTCAAAGGCAGCTGCAGAAGTTGAAGATGGATCATCTCCTGATGCAGCCGAGGAAGGTGTTGAGGACGAAGGGGGCTTATAAGATGGCTGAGGAAACTCACTTTCGCCGACCCACCCAGGTCCAAATTTTGTTCCAGGAGGCAGCGCCTTCTCGATCCGTTTGGCGGCCAATTTCCAGCCGATAGGGCCAATGTTGGCAGCGAAGCGAGCGAGGCTCCGAGCATAGGCGAACTCCATATGAAGCCCAACCTGATACAAAAGATGCCAGAAAAAATGAAAAAAATTATGATGTATTTACTTACACATCTCACACCTAAACTTTCATATTTACTTAAAACTTTGGTGCTTTAAGTTTATCTATAAAAAGATGTACTTCATTTTAAACAAGGTTAATAGTGTGATTTTTGATGTAATAATATAATTTGAGTACAATGTGTGTAAATATGAAAGTTTTGTTGTGACGTGTAAATACATAAGAATTGTGTTCTATTATGTAAAGTGTTCAACAGAAAAACCTATGAATTCTCGTCAGTAACAGCATTGTCCCAAGTCCTAACTATTCTGCGTCAGTTCTATGAATTCAACCCAAAAGGAAGATGTGCATGCATACCACTCAGTTCCTATGCATTTACATATCTAACATCTAAACTTCAATTTTTACATGCATGCCTGCCACCTTACATATGCATCAAAAGCTGTAATTCGATTTTTTTAAGTTAAAATGCTGTTATTTTTTATGTGATATGAAAGATTTCAACAGTATAAATTGGAAGTAAAGTTTAGACGTTAAATATATAAATACGTAGGAATTGGATGGTATGTCTACAAATGATATGTAAATCTTCCTATTTAGGGGTGACACTCATTCCTATGTATTCAAGTGTCAAATGGCCAAACTTCGCTTTTTTACATCTCGATCACCCATATCTCTTAGATCACATCAACTTTTAAAAGTGAAGTGCACCTTTTCATGCACAGGTAAAATAAATACATGTAAACATTATAATTTAGGTTTTACATATGTAAATAAATAAGAATTGAGTGGTATGTAAATCAACATTTGTTGAGGACTACTTGAGAAGTTAAATTATTAAAACAAAGGAGAACTGATTTAAAAATGCACTCACCGGCACCAAAGTTTTTCTATCTCCAGCAGGAGCTGTCAACGCAGGCATGGAGGAGAGCTGGCAATGCTTAATTATATCTCGAAAATTCTCATCCTTCGCAGAAAGTTTCTTTCCAGATTTTGAGGAACCTTTCAATACGGTCCCTGAAAGATAGTAGGGCCTATGAGATCAAATTCAACATAAGAATTTAAGAAAGCAATAAAAATTAGGTAAAATAATATACATAGCACACAATTCTAATGTATTCACGTATTTCACACCTAAACTTAGATATTCAGATAAATAGCATTTTGATGCTTTAAACCTGCGCATGAAAAGGTGTGTTGTTTCACTTTTTATAAATGGTAATAGTTCTATTTTGTTATTATGTGATATTAAAGATTTGAGTATTATGTGTGAAGATATGAAAGTTTAGGTGAGAAATATGTAAATACATATGAATTGTGTGCAAATGTCCATAAAAATTAATTGAAGCTTCAATCTCATTCATCTCTGTCTTTGTTCAATCTTCGCATCTTCCTTATCCTGTATTCTTATTCCTCAAGTCTTAGTTAAGCGCAGTCATAAAGAAGAAACCCATCTAAAAGACCGTTGGGGGCGGAGCATAGTCTTCTCAAGTACTACAGCTATCACACAAGATGCTGATGCAAGTAATAATAAAAATTAGGGAAATTTAAATACAGACAGCACAGTTCTTATGTATTTACATCGCGAACACCGAGAGTTTAATATTTACACTTATAATACATTGTTTTCATAAACTTATGCATGAAAAGATGCATTTAACTTTCAAAAATATAATGATGATATTTTTGAAGTAATGTAAAGATTTGAGAAGTATGCATGCAAATATGAATGTTTAGGTGTTACATGCATAAATATAATAGAGTTATGTAGTATGCATGTAAATGCCCCTAAAAATTAATGGAAGATTACATACCACACAATACTTATGTATTTACATAACACCTAAACATCAACTTTACATACATGACGCCTCCGTATCTTCACATTTTAAAAGATAAAATAATGATATTTTGGATGTGATAGGAAAGAATTGAGTAGTAAATGGAAAAAAAAGAAAACAATAGGTGTTAGATATGCAAAATAAACATTATGTGTTACATAACTGAGTAGTATGTATGTAAATTCCTCTAAAAAATTAATAGCAACTTTATTAAAATTGATGCCAAAGTATGTATAAAGACCTGAATAATCTTCGCTTCTCTCCAATTTATGTTCGCTGCTTAAAATATTTGAATCTGAACTCTGAAAACAATGAGTCCTGGCAGATAAATCTACTAATACAGGTTTGTGAGATCCCGATCCTCCTCTCAGCAAATCATTCACCGGGCCTGAAGAAAGGTTGCCATTGGAAGTATTAGCAAGTGAAACTTCTGAAGAAAACTCCGAACCAGCTCTCTCAGCTAGCGGTCTGGCAACCGGCCGGTTTATATTGATTTTTCCGGTACCGGGAGGCCGACCTCTGCGTACTATTTTCGGCTCCGGATTATTATCGTCGCTCTCTTGTCGTAAATTCGCAAAACTTTTCTTAGCCAACTCGTGAATGGATCGTGCCTGCAAAGGAGAAACAATTTATTCACACGTTTTTTGAGAAATAACAGCTTATATAGTAAGTATGAAAAAAGTGTCAATATAGCCCCCAGACTATTTATATTGGGTTATTTAAATCCCATAGTCTAAAAAATATCAAATTAATTCCCAAATACTTTTAATATAGGTTAAAATAGTCCTAAGGAAGACTATTTTAGCCCTCATCAAGAAATTTTGGGACTAAATTGACACCCCCGGGACTAAATTGGACCACTACAAAGAGTGGGGGGAAATTTTGTGTCAAATGGTCCAATGACTCTTTTCAATGGTCATTTTAATCCCAAAGTCTATAAAAATATCAATTTAGTCCTCATACTCTTTTAAATGGGTAAAAATAGTTCTCACAACGAACTATTTCAGTCCAATTTAAAAAGTTATTTTATATACTATGGGATTAAATTTGCCCAAGTTAAATAGTCAAAGGACAATTTCAACACTTTACTTCAGTATATATTATCAACACAGTTTGGTAATAATATTACCTGCCGAAAGTAAATTGTGTCTGGTGCATTGTAACGCATGGCATTTGAGCTTATTAAAAAGACATCATTCTGCATGTGTACAACATAAAATAAAAAAATTAGGTTTCCAAAGAATTATAGAAAGACAATATGATTGATGAAAATAAGAAAGGGCATTTATCTAACACCTAAACATTCATATTTAAATGCATACAACTCAAATTTTTAATATTACATCAAAAATATCATCATCACCATCTTTTTAAAAATAAAATACACTTTTTCATGCGAAACTTTATTATGACACCAAGATGATATAGATGTAGATATCAAACTTCGAGTGCTAGATATGTATACATAAGAATGTGTGGTATGGATGTAAATTTCTCAAACAAGAATACCAAAGAATTCTAGCAAGCCATAGTTTACAGCTTGAGCACAAATAACTGGCAAATTCAGAGCAAAATCTGTTCAGATCAAGTGATTTTATAACGACAGCAAATGTTACATTTCCATTTAAAATTTTAAGGACAAATGCATAACGTATGATTGTGTGTAATTCTATCAATCCACGAAGTTTAAGGCTTTATGGTATAATAGTTTTAAAATCCCCCAAAACATTTCAAAATTTAATTAGAATCTTCATTGGATATGTACCAGACAATTATCTTAGTAGGCTATCAAGAAAACTGCAAAACAAACCTTTTCTGTGACAGTTATTTATGGTATTTATGCAATAGCATAAACAAGAATCAACGTAGGTATTAAGGTTCTACAATTATAATAACAAAGGTATCAATTATATTCCTCTAATCAAAATAAACAATCTAACATGCATATTTATCCCATGGAGAAGGGAATCAAGGAATTTGCAGCTGGTATACAATTGTTGCAACAATAATTCTGTGTTGGATAAAAAAAAGGAAAATTTGCATACATACCACAGAACTCCTATGTATTTACACATCTAAGACTTAATATTAAAAACCTATGCATGAAAATGTGTTTTTCACTTTTAAAGGCATGTGATAGTGGTATTTTTATGCGATGCCAAAAATATTAGTGCTAAGTATGTAAATATATAATTTTTAGGTGTTAGATATGTAAATATAAGAGGATTGTGTGGTTATGTAAAAAGTAACGCAGATTATCTAATATAGCTTACCAAGTTCACAAGAGATTAAGCTACAAAATTAGGTTTCATAACATCGCTTTTTTTTATGAAATGTAAAACATATCCCTCAGCGCACAACGAGAGCTTGCCAGTAATATTCTCATCATATGCGAGTGATAATAATCAGCTGATTAAAACAATAATCAAGCCATGAGGATAATTTATGGGTCTTTATCAGTACTAGAGCCTACATACATCCCAGTTCAAAGCTCAATCAAATATGGGAAGTTCTTTATGAAATCAATCTATCAACACAATGCCATGTCTAGCACATTTGCAAAACAATTAGGGGCATTTACATACATACCACACAATTCTCATATATTTACCTACCTAACAACAAATATTCATATTTACATACATATGACTCAAATCCTTAACATGACGTCAAAAATACAACCAAGAATACCTTTTTTTTTAAGTGGAATACACCTTTTCAAGCATAGGATTATAGCACGAAGATGTTATAAGTTTAAATATGAAACTTTGGGTGCTAAATATGTAAATACATAACAATTGTGTGGTATGTAAGTAAATTTTCCAAATTCACCGGTACACATTATGGATATGGCACCAACTATACATAACATTATGAGAGTATTATAAGTAGCAACTCTAATCTATCATTATATGAAGAGGAACAAAACATTCAAGAAAAAAGGACTCACACCAGCAAAACACACAACTTTCAAACCAAGTTCAGGCAGTAAAAAAATACACAAACTATGATAATTCATCAAACGAATGAGAAAAAGAATCATAAAATATGATATAAATATTCTATTTTACACGGTTTTTGTTGAGAATTAGGGATCAATGAAGGTCCACAAAGTTATGTACAGTTTTATAATCCTCTTTCTAGTTAAAAATATTGGTAACCTGCGAGGACAGCATTAACCTACTGCTTTTTCTTGTAAGATGGGAGGTCCACTTGATAAAGATTGTCATTTACAATGTTACACCAATGTTGGTGTGAAATCCATTATGCAGAAAGAAGCTAAACTATTAAAAATCAATGCATCTTTTGGTCGGTGGAATATCATTAGAAAATTCAAAGTTAAGCATAATCGCATGGAAGCACTCCAGAGATGAGTGATCTCCTAGGAAGTTAAACCAATGAGAAAAAATCATGCAGCCGTCAAGCCAAAGCTAAAAATGTCTTCATGAGTGGAGTTCAGGTTATTACAAATGGTATCAAATCCTTACACCAGTCGGAACACGGGTACTAATTGTCATACAGAATAACGTCCTACACCATGGGAGCTACCTCTTGAACCCAAGATGGGACAAACGTTACATGGTAGGTGCCATCACTTGAATCTGTAGGGGTCAACTTTAGAATCCTATGTGCCTAGTGAATGATTATGAGTTGAGAAAACTGACGAGGACATCAATTACTTAAGTGGGGAGATTATAAAACCCCTTAAGTAGAAAGAAGTTGAACCCTTAAATATCAAGGCGTCTTTGGGTGTAAAAGAGGAGTTACATTAGAAAGTTCAAAGTGTGCTCGAATGGGAGCAACCCTGGATGGATAACCTATTGAGAAGTTACACCAACGAGACAAACCCATGCGGCCATCAGGCCAAGGAAGACAATATCTTCATGGGTTAGAGTTCGGGCTTTTACAATTGGTATCCAAAATATCTTCAAAAATATTACATAACATATTTTAATAATATATATAAAGTGTCAGAATAATTTCCTTACTATTTATATTGAATTTATTTTAGTCCTAAAGCCTATAAAAATGTCAAACTAGTGCCTATACTCTTTTAATGAGCTGGAATGAGTCCTATGAATAACCATTTCAGCCCCTATTAAAAGATTTTAGGGATTAATTTGGCACTTCTATAAATAATGGGACTAAAAGTGCAAAACGATATGGAACTATTTTAACACTATTCTCAATATATATAGATATATGTGTATGTATGTATGCATGTATGCATGTGCTTGAAATTTGAAAAAAAAAATTTCCCTTCAAAATAAAAAAGAGCTCGACTGTTGGGATTGATGCCAATCAAATAGTTGATCATTCATCATAATTACTTTTAACTCATATAATCTTATGTAGAACAACAACAAGGGGTGCACAAACGAGAGGAAAAAAGTAGACCAAGTCCCACCAACTTACATGACTTTGTAATTATTTTTTTTTGATTAATTCATAAATTTCTAAATGGAAAAAAATATACCAGATCATGCTAAATGTAAGTCTAGCAAGATTAATTTTACCACCCAATTCACATGTTATTGCATGTTTAATCGCTAAATTTTGCTTTTTACATTTGCAGTACCCAAATCTTGCAGATCACATCAAAAATACCACCATTGCAACTTTAAGTACACCTTTCCATATATAGATAAGGTGGTATGTATGTAAAAATTTAAGTTTAAATGTTAGATATGTAAATACATAGGAATTGAGTGGTATGTATGTATATCATCCTTAATTTTTTTATTAAACATGTGTAAATTTAAACAGAAAAAGTTAAACAAATTATCTTGGCGACCCTCTTCCTAAAGGCCACAAAAAGTCTAATATTTATATAAAATCCTTCAAAAAATTCAAAGATACATTTGTAGATGGGGGATTAATCATTTTATTCCAATCGAGGTAGGTTAATTTTGACTAACTGTGCCTTCAGCTCTATTACTCCATCTATTTCACAAGCCCTTGGTCCCACTATGAAAAATCTTAAGGGGGCATTCATATACATATCAAAATTCTTATGTATTTATATATCAAACCCCTAAACTTTCATATTTACATAAATAACAATCAAATCTTTAATATTACATCAACAATATCACTTTTATTAACTTTCAAACATAAAACACACCATTTTATGTATAGGTTCATGACACTAAATATAAATATTAAATTTTAGGTGTTCAATATGTAAATAACAAAAATTGTGTAGTATGTTTGTAAATTTTCTGAATTTTAATTGTATTGATAGATTTCTTAACAAATTTATTTGTGTGGCAAGAGAAAAGGGGGGTTTTGGTATCAAGTCTTTTGAAAATCACACCCATTCCTTCACTGTCAAGCATCGGTGTAAATTTTGGCATAACGCACGAAATTTTTCTTCATTCCAAGCATTCTCAAAAAAATCATTCAAGCCTCATTAAGAGCAATATTACGGGAATCCCTCCAGTGAAAAAATACTAGTTTCTAGCAATGTCTAAGCCAAGAAGTATATTTGTTGTGGTTAGGTGAGCAGTAATATCTCTTTCTAGTTTGATGGATGGATTGGTCCTTTAGGTCAACAGATCTTCATTGCCACAAAAAGAACATTATGATTGATTATTATGATGCGATTTGGCACAAATTTTCACAAAAATTTGGATAAACACATTTTATTGCAAGAACATCAAACATTCAACAAGAGTACAAAGATAAGCAGGTAGGCAATATCTCCCAATTCCTACAATTTGAGAGGTAGGAAATCTCTCCTAAATCCTGAACCTAAGACTACAATTTGTAATCTCATGTAACCCCTAACCCTAAATTTTATAGCCATATTTATAGTAAATAAAAACAAAAAACAAAAGACTAAATTGTCCTTAGGCCAATAAATGACTAAATTGCCCTTAGACCAATAATTGACTAAACTGCCCTTACGCTAGGCACCGGCGTGACAATACTCCCCTCCAAAAAATACATAATATTCTCAAGGTGGACAAAATTGCTGCCGGATCAAGTAGTATGGCTCTCACATGGAGTCATCATGTGGGAACCATTTCCATGTAATCATAAATTTGAATTGACACGCACAAGTATGCAATATAGGCTTGTGCAGAGCCTTCAACCACCTCAGACTCTATTGATGTTGTCTTCAGATCAATCTTGGAGGACACAACAGTCCCAAACAATTTGTCCAGTAGCTTTTCTATCACCGGAATAAGACAT